TATTTTTTAACACAAGTATCTGTACTTTTACTCAAGTACGGAAAGTGAGTACTTTTGCCATCTCTGCGTTAGAGGGAATAGTTCGCCTGGCTGAATAGACAAGGTCTTCGGTTCCCCTGTAATGCAGTATTTTTGATTTCTGCCCAATATTGAAGCGTGGTCTGCGCTATATTATTCCACGCCACAACGCCAGAGGGCCAATCAGGAACGCTGTGTGTCTAGATACGCCCGAGGCGGTGAGGAAGTGGGGGCAAGTTTGTGAGATAACGGAAGGACATGAGGGCCAAAAAGAGCGGGGATCCAGGTGGAAAAGGCTCCCAGCGTTCTCGCGCACCTCGCTCTTCTAGCTGGTCCATCTTCTCGAGTTGTTTTCCAAAATGGCGGTCAGACAAACAAAACAAGCCGGTCAGGAACCAAACAGGAAATACGCATAGTGTGAGCGGATGTAGATTTGACCAATCAGAGGCCTCTTGTCTGTGCTCACCTACAATTGTGGAGAGGTGCAGCAGAGTGTCTGTGGAAGTGGGGCCATATCTGCGTTAACGGCGACGCACGCAGACGACCTGGTTTCTGAGTATAAATCAGTCTTGGGCCAAACCCCCCCCCCCCCCTCCCCCGTTTAAAATTGTTTTTTCTTTCTTCCTTCACGCCCCTCTCAAACCACCTCTCCTCTTTGTCCAAAATGTGAACATTCTGGTCCTCCAAAGAATGTCCTTGGTCCATCAGGTATAGATGTACTGTAGGATCTTGTCCAGAGGAGGGCGCTCTTCATTGTTGGGCCATGCGTCTGTGGAGAGGTTGTTTGGTTTTAACAATATAAAGATCGTTCATCCGTTTCAAGCAGAAACCAGGCTTTGTTGGGCTGCTGGATAAAACCTGGAACTAAACGCTATTTCTGACATTTTGAACTGAAAAATCTTCCTGGATGGAAGAGAAACGTCTTCAAACTTAGAAACAAAGTCCAGAGGATCGTTTTTTAACTTTTTTTATAATTTGAATGTCAAACTGTAGATTAGAGTCCCTTAGAGCCACATTTCTGCAGCTTTTAGACGCTTCCCCGCTCCACCACAGCTGGGCCTGAATCAGCTCCTCAGCTCGCCGTCATACCTGGCTATGAGCGCTCAGTCCTTTCAGCTGCGCTCCAGCAGAGAAGCACCTTCACTGAGCTTCTGCTGATGTGTCTCTGAATCTGGTCCATCCTCAGATGGAGCGTCCGTCCAGGAAGAGGCAGGATTCCTTTGGGATGCTGGACAGTCTGGAGGAGGACCGGAGCAGCTGCAGCTCTGACTCCAGCGGGGGGAGCGGAGCGTCCAGCCCGGAGGACAGCGAGGATGAAGACTTTGGAGTTGGGAATCAGCTCAGCTCCTCCTCCTCCTCCCTGATGCTCATCAAGACCAACGGACAGGTGTACACCTACCCTGACGGCAAGGCGGGCATGGGTCAGTCTGACGGACTCCTTCCCAGTCAAACCAGATTAATTTATCCAGCAGGAGAAGCTGACGCCTTTTGTCTCTCTGCCTGGTCCTCAGCCACCTGTGAGATGTGCGGGATGATCGGGGTCAGGGACGCCTTCTACAGCAAGACCAAACGTTTCTGCAGCGTCTCCTGCTCCAGGAGCTTCTCCTCCAACTCCAAGAAGGCCAGCATCCTAGCCAGGCTGCAGGTAAGGCCCCCGTCCCGTCAGGTCCCGCCTACGGTGGGCGGTTCTCACTGAGAAGATCCTGTCTGTCTTAAAGGGGAAGCCGCCCACTAAGAAGGCCAAGGTCCTGCAGAAGCAGCCCCTGGTGACCAAGCTGGCTGCCTACGCACAGCACCAGTCCATCCAGCAGGGCGGCGCCAGAAAGAGCGGTGGGAGTTCTGTTGAGCTGAGCTGGAGCTTCAGCAGAGCTTCATGTCATCTAAACGTCTGACGGCTTTGTGTCCTGCAGTGTCTGTGGACGTGTTTGACTGGGGGCGTTACCTTGGAGACGGAGACGTGACGGGAGCGCCGGTCAGCTGCTTCAAACATGTGAGTTGAAGCAGTGATCAAAGCTAAAGGAGGCTACTTTCAAGAACCTGGAATATCAGACATATTTTCAGTTGTTTTACGCTTTTTTAAGTATATAATTCCAGGTGTTCATTCATAGTTTTGATGCCTTCAGTGTGAATCTACAATTTTCANAATCAGCTCCTCAGCTCGCCGTCATACCTGGCTATGAGCGCTCAGTCCTTTCAGCTGCGCTCCAGCAGAGAAGCACCTTCACTGAGCTTCTGCTGATGTGTCTCTGAATCTGGTCCATCCTCAGATGGAGCGTCCGTCCAGGAAGAGGCAGGATTCCTTTGGGATGCTGGACAGTCTGGAGGAGGACCGGAGCAGCTGCAGCTCTGACTCCAGCGGGGGGAGCGGAGCGTCCAGCCCGGAGGACAGCGAGGATGAAGACTTTGGAGTTGGGAATCAGCTCAGCTCCTCCTCCTCCTCCCTGATGCTCATCAAGACCAACGGACAGGTGTACACCTACCCGGACGGCAAGGCGGGCATGGGTCAGTCTGACGGACTCCTTCCCAGTCAAACCAGATTAATTTATCCAGCAGGAGAAGCTGACGCCTTTTGTCTCTCTGCCTGGTCCTCAGCCACCTGTGAGATGTGCGGGATGATCGGGGTCAGGGACGCCTTCTACAGCAAGACCAAACGTTTCTGCAGCGTCTCCTGCTCCAGGAGCTTCTCCTCCAACTCCAAGAAGGCCAGCATCCTAGCCAGGCTGCAGGTAAGGCCCCCGTCCCGTCAGGTCCCGCCTACGGTGGGCGGTTCTCACTGAGAAGATCCTGTCTGTCTTAAAGGGGAAGCCGCCCACTAAGAAGGCCAAGGTCCTGCAGAAGCAGCCCCTGGTGACCAAGCTGGCTGCCTACGCACAGCACCAGTCCATCCAGCAGGGCGGCGCCAGAAAGAGCGGTGGGAGTTCTGTTGAGCTGAGCTGGAGCTTCAGCAGAGCTTCATGTCATCTAAACGTCTGACGGCTTTGTGTCCTGCAGTGTCTGTGGACGTGTTTGACTGGGGGCGTTACCTTGGAGACGGAGACGTGACGGGAGCGCCGGTCAGCTGCTTCAAACATGTGAGTTGAAGCAGTGATCAAAGCTAAAGGAGGCTACTTTCAAGAACCTGGAATATCAGACATATTTTCAGTTGTTTTACGCTTTTTTAAGTATATAATTCCAGGTGTTCATTCATAGTTTTGATGCCTTCAGTGTGAATCTACAATTTTCATAGTCATGAAAATAAAAAAAATGAGGTTTGTCCAAACTTTTGCTCTTAAATATATATATATATATATATATATATATATATATATATATATATATATATATATATATATATATATATATATATATATATATAAAAAGAGAGGAAAAAAAGGAAAAATGTCAGAACCATCAATTGTCCAGGGAGCTGTTCCAAAAGAAATTTCTTTTTCCCCCAAGCTGGGGTCCTCTCCCAGAGCCCTGGGAGTTTGAGGGTTCTGCCAGTATCTCTGCTGTTCTTAGAACTTCACCCTTCTGGACCGTGATGTCTGATGTATTTCCAGGGTTCTGCTGTAACTCCTCCAGTTTGGGGGCCACTGCCCTGAGGGCCCCAATGACCACGGGTTCCACTCATGCCTTGACCTTCCAGGTTTTCTCCAGCTCTTCTCTGAGCCCCTGGTATTTCTCTAGTTGGGGGGGCCACATGCCGAATTTATCACGTTCCTGTTTCCTGATGTTGCAGTCACTTGGTATTGCTATGGCAACCACAACGGCTTTCCTCTCATCTTTCTTTTAGAAGTCGTACGTCTCCCTGAAAATGAGAACATCATGGTTGTTCGATGCTGTAGCGCACAGATTGTTTACATTGCGACCAGTCTAACTAGGGAGTACCAATATGGCGGCCGGTGGCTTCACTTCAATCCCCATACTACCAACAATCAGCAATGCAGTGAATAAGTAGAGATCAGTGGGAGTATATAAGGGGAACAGAACAAATGAGCTGAATAAGGAGCAGGTGGGAGTAGAGCTGACTAGAAGGAAGCCAAAGGGACAGGAAACGAGCACCAGGGGGCGACAGAGAGTAACTAAAGACTGATTGAATATAATGGAAAATAAACCAACGATCAACAAAACGGAATAACTGAAAACTAAAAACTCAGAATCTCAAAGAGGAGAACCATAACGATAGGAACCCTGGATAAAACTGATGCAAAAATATCGGCGTTTAGAAAAATCTATAAATTATAAAAATAAAAACAATCCTGACCTTGCAAAGACTTCAAGGTTTGGATCCATCCTGAAGGTAAAGTTCAGGTTTTGTGTCTTTCGGCGCAGTTTTAAGGATCCCGGCTCAAACCACTGAGCACTGGGATTTTCCCAGTCCGACTTTGGTCTTCCTCCTCTCCAGGTTCCGATGGGCCGGTCGTGGAGCAGCGTCAGCGAAGGGGTCCGGGTGGAGGTTCCCAACACCGACAGCGGTCTGCCCATGAAGGTCTACTGGATCGCCAGCATCATCAAGCTGGCTGGTAAGAACGGAGACGGGTTTGGACCTCCGTAACGTCTGGGGGGGGGGTTCTGGTTTGACCTGACCCGGTTCTGGTTCCTCCGGAAGGCTTTAAGGCTCTGCTGCGTTACGAGGGCTTCGATGGCGACGCCACCAGGGACTTCTGGCTGAACCTGGGTGTTCCGGACATCCACCCGGTGGGCTGGTGCGCCGCCGGAGGGAAGCCTCTGGTTCCACCTCAGAGTGAGTAGCCTCAGAGCGGTTCTAGCGGCTCCGTTCCCGGGTCGGCTAATGGAGCTCCGCTCTCTGTTCTCAGCCATCCTGCACAGGTTCACCAACTGGAAGAACTTTTTGATCAAGAGGCTGACCGGGTCCAAAACTCTGCCGCCGGACTTCTCATCCAAGGTAAGCGGCCGGTCTAATCCAGACGGAACCAGAAGAACCCTGTGATCCGGGTCCCTTCTGGTTTTCCTGCTTGACTCTTCCTCTTCTCCCTCCTCTTCGTCGCGCTCCAGGTGCAGGAGAGCATGCAGTTTCCCTTTAAGAAGCGGATGAGGGTAGAGGTGGTGGATAAGACCCACTTGTGCCGGACCCGCGTGGCGCTGGTTGAACAGGTGAGCGTCAGTTTGATCGACGGTCCCGGCGTCTCTGTGTCGCTGACGGCCGTGTTTCGTTGCAGGTGATCGGCGGTCGGCTGCGGCTCGTCTACGAGGAATGTGACGACGGGACGGACGACTTCTGGTGCCACATGTACAGCCCGCTGATCCACAGCATCGGCTGGTCGCGCTCCATCGGACACCGCTTTAAGAGATCAGGTGGGCGGGGCTTAACGCGGGGCAACGAGGGGAGGATGGACGAAGGCTGAATGTGTGGGTTTGTTTGCAGACGGGACGAGGAGGCTGGACGGACAGGTGGACGCTCCGGGACAGCTGTTTGCTAAGGTGAGCCTGGAGAGAAAATAAAATCAATCCTCTGGACTTTGTTTCCAGGTTTGAAGACGTTTCTCTTCCATCCAGGAAGATTTTTCAGTTCAAAATGTCAGAAATAGCGTTTAGTTCCAGGTTTTATCCAGCAGCCCAACAAAGCCTGGTTTTAGTTTAGAAAACATGGAAATAGAAACGGACTAACAGGTCCACCTCTAGAAGGAAGATGCCTTAAGATGGTCTCAGCAGATCCTAGAGGTTCTAAACCTCATTACTCAGTTTAGATCCGAGTCATTTGACGGTCCCACTGGGTCTGCATCCTGTTAAAGTTGTTCTTTCTTCAGAAAAGCCCATCCTTCATTTTAACCTCTTTGTTTTGAGTAATTCTACCTGTGTGACCAGCAGGGGGCAGTGTTACACCTGCAAACCACTGATCTCTATTTATTCCCTGGATTGCTGATTGCCTGTTGCTAGTATGTGGTTGAAGTGAAGCCACCAGCCGCCATATTGGTACTCCTTAGCATCGAACAACGATGATGTTCTCATTTTCAGGGGGACTGAAGACTTTTAAAATAAAGATAAATCATCATTTTGACACAGACTGTTTCATAGCATCAGTAGATTAACTTTAACTTAGAATAAAAAAATAGGCCCATCACATTACAGAGTCATACGGAAGAGGATTAGGGCCACTGAAAAAAAAAAAAAGTAAACTGATTTTTAAATTTTATTTCAGTTTAACGTGGGAATTAAAGTCAGAATTCTGACTTTAATCTCAGAATTCTAAGAAAAAATTCAGAATTCTGACTTTAATCTAAGAATTCTGATTTTTTTTCTCAGAATTCTGACTTTTTTTATTGTCAGAATCCAGTCAGAATTCTGAGATTAATCTCAGAATTCTGACTTTAAACAGAAAAAAATTTAAAAATCAGTTAACTTTTTTTTCAGTGGCCCTAATCCTCTTCCGTAGAGTCATTATGAAGTCAATGTCTATAAATAATTTAAAATAACATATTATACAATCCATCACAATAAAATTAATGTGTTAATTCAGTATAACAATGTTGAAGTGCCAAAAGTGCTAAATTGATGATGTACATCTAATATACATGAATTATTGTTGTTATAATATATTACATATAATTTCAAAATTTTACATCAAGGCTGAATAACAACTACATGTCTTTTAATGCTGTAGTATTTTCCTGTTTGCAAATTGTGCATAATGCATGATGCATATACTCTGTCTGTGCATTAGCCTTTATGTTTCCCCCTCAATATTACATTTAATATATTTCAGCACAACTTTTTCAAATGAGAAAAACAACAAACACTCCAAAAACGACAGCATCATCCACCTAATGAAGAATTACTACATTTCACAGTGAATTACTTTCTATTTCCTTTACTTTCTATTTTCTAACGTTAGACCCAATGTCAGCGTCTCACTCAGTCAATGTCTTCCAGTCAGTCTGAGACTAATGTTAGTCTGCAGACTAAACTATAGGATCCATCAGCTATAGATGGATTTATTGCTTAGTTCATCCACTGACTGGGAAATGACCAGTGGAACGTCTTCCTGCAGACAGAAAACTGCTGGTTTTAGCAGCTAAATGCTGCACAGGGAGGCATTTTAATGCGCATCTCTGTGCGAGTGGGGAGTACCAATATGGCGGACAGCAGCTTCACTTTTTACAGGCAATTGACAATCCAGTGAAAGAATAGAGATTGGTGTTGCAAACTCCTGCCTCACAGCAGCTCTGAGCCCAGAAGGATGTTCTGTGTCTCCTGCAGGTGAAGGAGGTGGATCAGACCGGACTCTGGTTCCAGGACGGGATGAAGCTGGAGGCCATCGACCCTCTCAACCTGTCGGCCATCTGCGTGGCCACGGTCCGGAAGGTGAGAACGAGTCCTTCCTGTCGGGGCGGCGGACCGAACGTCCGGGTGTAACTCTGAGCCTCCGGCCCTCAGGTCCTGGCAGACGGATACCTGATGATCGGCATCGACGGCTCGGAGGCGGCCGACGGCTCCGACTGGTTCTGCTATCACTCCACGTCTCCGTCCATCTTCCCTGCTGGCTTCTGTGAGATCAACAAGATTGAGCTGACGCCCCCTAGAGGTCGGTGTGTCTTCCTGCAGGCTCAAGGTTTAGGAAAAACTGAGGATTTGCATGTCTGAAGATCAGACCATTTTAAACCCAAAGATGTTAAACTGGTTTTACTGGGAACAGGGATACTGGGGCTTCAGCAGCGTCCAGATCAGGGTGGGTTGATCTTTCAGAAGTTAGAATCTGCAG